GACTGCAGAAGAGGGAGAATGGTCACAGTCAATAGAAACGGTACCGACCTGTCAGGTCAGTCTCTCTCTGCTGAGCTGAGGAGGGTTGCGTGGGTGCCCCTAACCCACCCTTCAGCACAGCGAGTGACTCCACGCGCCTGCGCGTAAGCTCCCGTGTCGGGGCTGGCCTGTTTGCCCCAGTGTTTGTGGGGCTGATCCCCGCTGTGCTTGGGATGCCGGTACCTCTATGGGTGCCCGGGCAGGGCAGTGGCAGCAGGGCAGCCCCCGCCCCGGGCTGGCTGCCCCAGCATTTCTCCCAGCTGCCAGAGTCCAGAGCTGCCGCAGCGGTGGGCACCGGGAAGACGGTCCTTAAGCCGACGTGATAGTTCTGCAAGGTTATTTAAGCTGGAACGGTTACGTAGGGCTTCAGGTTTTGCCAATAAGGCGCCATGCCTGGAGAGTCCAGTCCTGCAGTCAGAGAGGCTTTGGAAAGCCAGATTGTGATCTTCACCCCGGGTGTGCAAGACCTTCGTCTGCAGGCGTTCCCGCCGATTTCAGCGCAGCTGTGTCGCAAGGGGCTGTCGGAGATGAGCCAAGGGGATAGGAATCTGGCTCCCGGGACCCGTGCAGGGCATTCCTACACCCCTTCAGATGCTTCTGGCGGGTGGGATCGCACGCTGTTCCTGCGCGTGGGTGTACCCTTGTTGTTTGGGTTATTGGGGGAAGCACAGAGAACTTTTGCTCCTGAAAATTCAGGAGCTTCGCCTGAGAGGGCAAATACTTGCTAGTTGTTTGTCATCTTTGCTCACGCGCGTCGGCCCGTAAATTCTATTTTCAGAGTGCAAACTAAACACGCCAGGAGGGAGTGGGAAATCGTGTAAACAGCCATCCTGGGGGTACAGTGCTGTGCTTGTGTCCTGTGGCAGGGAGCTGCCTGCACCGCCTTAACTCTTCCGTTACCTATGGCTTGCGTGTGCGTACGCGCTGCGACCCCGGAGCATCCTCCGGCAGTACTGGGAGAGTCCTTGCTGGGAAGCGGCGCCGTCCTTTCCCTTCTACTCAAGCCTCCCGAGCAAGCAGAGCCCTGGGTGGAATCCCCAGGCCCAATCCTGAGCTTGGCCACCCTGTTTGCAGCAGAGAGGTGTGCGTTTCCGTTCCTTTCTTGTCGTTTGATCGGGAACGGTCATGCTGCGATTGCAACGCGAGGGGGGTGCGTGGCCGAGCGGGGCGTTATCCTGCTGGATCCCAGGACTCCTGAAGGAACGAGCACCGGGGAGCTCCCGGGAGGCTCCCCTGCAGCACCTCGGGCCTTACCGCTCTGCACAGTGGGTTGATTTGTGGTGGCTTCCTCCCCTCTCTCCCCTCTGCGTTTTTAAAAATCTGACGTGGGTTTGGGCCAGCGAGGTTTCTGCTTCTGCTTGCGTCGCTTTCTCCAAGCAGTGACGCACACGTGTGCTCTTTTTTTGCCACATAAGTGGGTGGTTTATGTGCTGGGAGGGAATGATTCATAAATTAGTTAGAGCCTGGGCCTTTTCTCCATTGCCCTAATGATGTGTGAAGAGGGTTTGGTGTCGGCCTTTCTTCCTGGTCTTCAAACAGGCAGGTTGCTGCGTACTTACGTTTTCACTCTCCAGCTGTGGGCAGTGCAGCCTCGCCCGGGGTGAAGCGCTAAGCCCGTGCATAAAATGGGGGTAGCTGCAGAGAGAGTTAATGGGCCGCCACCTGCAAACGAAGACCATGAAAATACCGCTTTTTGCAGAATTCTGTCGCTCGACTGCAATTTTCAGAGGCTTTTGCAGCCAGGAGAGTCAGCGCGGAACGGCCGTCTTTGGCAGGGGTGTCCCTGGGAGGGACAGCAAGCAAGCGTAGATGTGGGTCTGCGGCGGCGGGGAAGCCGCGGGGGGCACGGGGGTGTTTTGGGCCTGGGTGTGCTTGTGCTGGGCTGGCTACAACAGCGACGCGCCTTCAGGGTGTGCTGCGTTAAGGAAGATGGGGAGGAAAATTGAGGTGCAGGAAGTTCCGGGGGGTTGGGGAATGCTTAACAAGCAAATTGTTTGTTTGTTTAAGATGATAATGGATGAGCAAGAAAGTCTTTTGAAAGCACCCAGGCAGGCTGATTCCTCCCCTTGTTGTGATGTGAGAAAGCTGTGGTGTGGCGTGTAATGGATGACGACGTCGCTCTGCAGAGAAACCGAGCACAACAGTCAGAAGCAGTGTTGAGGGAAAGCATCTGCAGCACAGAGAGGAAAAAAAAAAAAATCATTCTCTGCTCATAGCATTAGTTATTAAAAACCTTGAGCAACCCATGGTTAATGAAACCAGCTTGGCTCATTAGCCACACTTCAAAATTATATTTAGAGGTTAGCAAAAATAAATATTTTTCTTTGTGGCCGGAGTGGCGTCATGAGAGACCCTGTCTTATACAACCCATTTTTACTGCACGAATTGCGACACAGATTTGGCCTTGGTTCTCCAAAGTTTTGTAGTTAAACAAGGAGGGATTGGATCTTGTTTTGCCCAAGTTGGTTCTAATGTGAAAATTGTGGGCTTTAGATTTAGAGCAGAGCTTGGAACATTTATGGTTCAAGTTACATTTTCTAAGTTGCAATTGGAAATTCTCGCAAATACTGCTGCGTAGTTTTTGTTCTGTTTAGTTTTGTTTTGTTCCTACTCTTTTATTTCGCTGGTAGAATTAGAAACTGAGAAGATTTGCTCCCAGTCTGGCATCTTTATAGGCACAGTGTAGGTGTTTTTCTTTAGAGGGCAACATGTACTTCTGTGAAAGAAGCATCGGAATAAGTAGTTCACATGGCTCTCCTGTTCCCAGCACCTGCCCTGGGAGGACACGGGGCATTTTCTGTTGTACCTTCTCAGACAGCTGTACAAAGGGACTTTTTTTTTTAATGTGGATGTAGTATGACTCTTACTTGGCAAGGTCAAAAGTAAGGAGTTTGTGTTGCCTCATGAACATCTGATCCTTTAGATTCGAACTTGGGTGGGTTGGTGTTCACTCCAGCACTGCCTCTGAAGTCATTATCTAAGTTGGATCCTGCCCTTATGTACTGAAACATGTGGGTCTCATCCCGTGCATACCTCCTGTAACAAATGCCATGTTTGAAAATATTCACCTCAGGCAAAATAATTGTGAAAGAGGTTTGCTGAGGGCTGATCACATCTTGAGAAGATACCGTAAGCATTTATGAGGCCCCTTGCCCTGTTAGCATACCCGCTGGTGAACGCCTATGTGATCCCTAAGCGTATGCCCAACTTCATGTGTTTTGCAGCACAAGGGCCCTACTGAGGTGTTGTGAGCACATCTCTGCTTTGGATGATGATGTTGGATGCCCAGCCTTGCCTGGGCCCCAGCAAACACCTTACTGTAACATTACTCTTGGCATTTAACATGCACCCTGGCTATTTTTCCTTCTTTCTAATTTACAAAGCCACCTGCAGTTTCCGTGCTAGAAGATTTTGCAGGCAGTCTAGCTCTTCTGGAAATGGTTGCCTTTAGAATACATTACTATGTATTAATACTCCTTTTATATTTTATGCAGTTTTATATGAGACCAGCCATGATTGGAATGGTTTCTAGGATTAAGTGATGTGATTAATATTTGTTTTCCTCATCATCTTCACACACGAGAATGTATTTATTGAAATATCCTGTTTTGATAGGATTTTGTTGTTGTTGATCAATTTTGAGTTTGTAGGCTCATTATTTTATATTGATGTTGGCAAAAGGAGGTTATAAGATGCTTTATTTTGGCCTTGCAAATGGAGAGCTGCCACTTGTGATTCTAGAAATGAATGTGCAGCCACAACAGCAAAAACAGTGGGGCTGATCTTCTCCACACCCTCGTTGTGCTCATTCAGGCTGTGCAGATTGCACTGGTACAGTATTACAGGAGTCTGCCTGAAAAGAAATGTGTTCTGTGTCGGTGTGACTAAGGTGCAAAACCTCAACTCGTGCAACTGAAGGAAACTTGTAGTATCAGCAGAGCGACATGGGGTTGGCATCGCTGGTGGTTTTGAATGGATTCAGGTTCTGCATGTTCTGAATAAGAATTGTGCTTTGTAAAAGAACCTTAGAGTTAGTGAAGTTCCTTCTTAAGCTGTCCTATCCCTGATCCATTATAAATATAGCCCTTGTGTTTCTCACATGTTAAATTTAGCTTTATGTCCCTCAGTGGCATAATTTTGCATACTTGCTTCTTAAAATGTCTTCCCCTTTGTTATTTCCTGCTTTTCTGTTTTCTGTGGAGTTTGAAGGAGGCTGGATCTATCTGTCATGTTTACTCAAGAAGGAATCTGTTTTCACAGACAATGGAGAAATGGTGATTTAATTAGAACAGCTTCTACGAAGGAGGGCTTTCTTGCATGTAGCAGTATTTTCTTTCCCATTTTGTATCCTTCATGGTCAAGCAAAGGTGGCTTTCCAGAAGTAGCCTTGGGTTAAGAGCTGAAACAGTTGTATACACAAACACAGTTTTATACCCTATTATTACTTTTATTTTAATGGGGAGAACAGGCATTGCAAGTCATATCTACAACATGGCCACATGCCCTGTAATTGTTCCAGATTTAAAGTACATTGTCACCTCATCCCAGAGTATTTTTCAAGTGAATTAGTTTAGATTGAACAAACAAAATTGTTATTTTTAACATTTCCTGAATCTCAGGAATAATAGTTTGCTATTTCATTTCAAATCTCTCACCTAAGGCTGATCATGATCCTGTTACAGCCAACGGGGCTTCATGGGGTCCAAAGGCTGACTTCTGTAGAATTGTAGCCCTTTGCAGTTGTAGCAGTCCTCTCCTAATTCCCATTTTAAAAGGAGCAAATAGATATTAATGTCTGGTCAATTGATTTAAACCAGTTAACAGAATGGATTCATTGCTGAGAAGATTGACTCTTGTAAATCCCTCTTTCAAGTCACAAATTGCATTTCAAGAAATGCTCTTTCCTTTCTCTCCTTTACCTACTAGGAGCAGCTCAGAACGGAGGAAGGAGAAATCAAGAGATGCAGCGAGATGCAGGAGAAGCAAAGAAACCGAAGTTTTCTACGAACTGGCACACGAGCTGCCGCTGCCCCACAACATCAGTTCCCACCTGGACAAGGCATCCATAATGCGCCTGGCAATCAGTTTCCTACGCACTCACAAGCTTCTGTCTTCAGGTAAGATCTGGCTAAAAGAAGTTGTCAGTGCTAGCTGATGGCAACTTGGTAAGATTCTGCATGTTCTTCTTTGAGTACTGGGTCCTAAAGTGAGAACAGGACGCAACTGCTTGTGTCATGAGAATACAACTAGATTTAAACATAGGTTGGTGGGGCTTTTTCCATCGGTATTATGTATATTCTAACTGGGATAGAAAAATCTGAGCGATACTGATCATATAAGGTCTTCTTTACCAAAATAACAACTGGTGCAGTTTTGTGCCTCTAAAAGAACAACTTTCAAAACTCTTGAATGTGATTTATTAAGCTCAGTGAAAAGATTTTAACTTTTAAGAGTTTAATCAGAATTCAAACATACAACTTAAGCTGCCATGCTGAAACAAGTAAGTTTTGATTTGGCATGGCAAGCATGTTTGTGCCAGTGTATTGAAAAGGCAACTGGGAAGTTCTGAAGGTCAAATACTTCGTTTGAAAGGACTAATTGTGCTATATGCCGGTAATGAGTAGTAGGTAGGTTGTTTATGACAAGGTGGACTAAGACAGCTAAAGCAAACACCTTTTAAATACCCAACATGAATGGATTCTATGTAATCAGAATCTTGCTCATGTTGAACTAGTAAGAAATATGAACCAGCATCATTTTCATAGCCTGTGAAAACCGATAAAATTTAATGGTAGTCTTATTTTGCACCAGTATTTGAATAATCACTTTGGAAATCTGTGGTTTGAGTAGCCTGTGAGATCAGTGAAAACAGATGATGTTTCTGGGGGAACTCTCACACGGTGACCTATAAGTGTCTAGAATACGTTAAAAAAACAAGGCCTGCATTGTTTGTGAAACGTAAACCCAAAATTTCATCTTCATTAATGGCAAAACTCCCAATAAGGTCACAATTGCACTTCCTCTCTTTAGAAAAGTTGAGTCATACCGTAACAATTACTTTCATAGATGTTATTAGGAAGTATCTCATTTTGTGGAAGAGTATGCTTTGTTGTTGGCTAGTCTGAAAAATACGACAAATTTGATTCTGCTTCTCTGTGCTTTGTAATTTTTGTAGCTATTTTGGGTTCTGCTAGGACTATTGTATAAATGGGTATTTTCATCTTAGCTTATAGAATGTGGATTTAACATTTACTTCTGTGAAAAGAAACATTTATTTGCCGAACAGTGTTTGCAAATCATCTCTGATTTCGTCATGTAATTGATACTTGAAGAAGTTGTGTAAATAGGTAAATGTTCTTAAACTTGCCAGACACCAAGCAAATTTGTAGTAACTTTCTCATAAAAACACAGCTTCAGCTTTTCAAATATTTATATGGCATGAACTAGAGACTGGCACAGCATAGGAAAAGCAAAATTCTGAAGGGCTGTAACGGATAATACAGATAACGCGTGTGTCTCTGAAACTTGACGTGAAATAGTTTGATGCTGTCATCATCAGAAAAATGTATTTGCTTACCTGGGAACTGCTAAGTTTAAAGAGAAATTTCAAAAACATACACTTCTTTGGTGAGGAAAACATCTACAGCGAAAACATTTATTTAGTGCTTCTGTGGTGTTAAGGCTTAGGCTCGTACAATTTGATAGCGATGACATGTATTTTTATGTATATGTATTTATATAATATTCATGCATACACATAGGTATATGATTTTTTCTGTGACAGTGTTTGAAAAACAATGTGATTCACGTAGCTGATCTACATTTTCTTGAAGTACCACCAGGACCCAGCAGTTGGAAAGGAATCTGGAAATGAAACGTTATGGTAGTGACAGGCTGTGATTCAATATTTCAGACTTTCTCTATCTTAGTTATTTGCTTAGCCTTAGATCTGATGCACTTCCCCAGTCTAAATATTGACTTGGAGTTAGTCCTCTCATTAAGATTTGTGGTGTTAGTCAAATGCAGATTTGTCCATTGCTGCATGTTTAGACACTGGAGATGTAGATGAAGGTTTTAAAATCTTTAGTGCTTCTATTCTGAGGAATTGAACTTAAGGTACTTTAAAGAGACTGATTGTCTGGAAGAGCTGAGTATTATTTTCTGACAATGAGAATACACTGAAATGAAAGAACTCAAGCTGGAAAACCACTGTTTGCTTGTAAAGGCCTCGTCTGCTACTTATATTCTTCAGAGTATAGCTAGCATTTAAATTAGCCAAGCTAAGCAAGAAGGCTGAAGATTTAAGCGTTGAATATTTGAAAAATAAAATTTATCAGGCATTGGAAGAAAGTGGCATCAGAGAGAGAACTTGCATTGTCGTTATCAGAATAACGGCTTCAGAGTAGTATTTCTTCTTTGTGCAATTGCCCAACAGTTTACACTTGCTGAGACTCCTGAGATTCACAGGTGTAGAGTACTGCTTTGGCCGGAGTAAATCTCTGTCAGGTTGAGAACTGTTTCTTGTTCTCAGGAGACAAGGCTGTAAAATTGAATATAGACATTTCTGGCAGGTGAGCTTTGTTGAAAAAAAAAACAACAAACCCTGCCTTTCAGAACTGATTAACACCATTGCTGTATAATAGCTGCTTAATACAGTTAATATTTGACGGGTGCTGTTCTTCTGATCTGTTTCTGTAAAAGCAGAATTCAAGTCTTTGGTAGGCTTCTGAATAACATCAGTCTTTATAAGGACACTGGCTTTCACTGGAAGGCTGTCCGATTTAATTCAAAGCGGTAGGTTTTCGATAAAGCTTTTGGCTCTCGGCTGAAGTTCGCTGCTCATCACGTTTTGACAAGCAAACAGACTTGGGACTTGTGTGATGCCCATCCACGTTCCATTCTCACTTTTGCTCTAAACCCTTTCTGAGCCCCAGGCAAAGCTGCCCCCTCTTCACACACGTGACTGGAATTTGGCCAGTAATTCCGCGTTGCGTTTGAGGAGCCCGATTGGAGTGACGGGGAGCACGGCGGGTACGGTGTCATCTCTGACAGGTGAACTGGGAAACGGGGAGGTGGAGAACTGTGGTGTGCATGAGTAGCAAACGCCTGCCCCAGCCCACAGACCCCCCTTTTGCTTTATGCTGTCTTCATGGAAATAGTTTTGATTATTTGGACTAGACACTTAGTGTAAACTGGAGTTGAGTGGGAGTATTTGTTCTGTCATTAATTAGGATGTTAAAATAATATTTACTGCATTTATATATATACACATACACAATGTAACTAAAATAAGCTTGCAGTGCAGCTTGAAAAATGCTTCAAATGTAGTAAAGAAAAAAGTACCGCTTGACTCGCATTTTTGTTATTTCTTATTTATTCTCTCAAAAACTACTGGTACACCAGATTTTGTTTTGGATTACTGTTTGTGGGCACGATTCTCAAACGCAAACACACCTCTTCGTTTCCCGGCAATTTTGCTGGGAGTGGAGAGAGCAAGGGCCTTCCCAGGGCTGCATCTGCATCTTTCTGCAAGCTGATGCTCCAGATGGGATTTCAGAGATGGCTGTAGGCAACTTGCCAGCCTTAGTCCACTGGCATTGAGTGTCTCATGCCCCTTCCTATTATTCCCTGACTCGGAATAGGGCTTTTCACTTGTGTAACTCGGGCTGTTTCACTAGCTGTGTCTGCATAATGATTATTTATCTGTCGGGAAGCCAAGCCCCAGGGAAATGTATGCCCACATTCTTCCAGCAGGTGAATGGCGGAGCCCACGAATCTGAGCCCTCATTGAGACCTCTCCCGCTACGTGCCTCCGAAAATCCCAGCTTGTGGATTGCAGGGTACACGTCTCCTGCAGGCGTTGCAGGGCCTGAGCTTGGCTCTTGTATCCTATCATAATAGGAAATAGCTGGTTGCATATCTCAGAGTTCAAAAGGGTAAAAAATACCAGGTTTTGCTTTATAAAAGTTGCTGCTTTACTTAGTAACACGTTTCCCTTTGATTTTCACAGTAGGCAATTCTGTGTGGGAATGTTGGAGAGGAAGCCTTTAACATTTAGAAATGCAGGCTGTTCGTCTGACGGCCTGATTGAGATTAGTATCACAGGAAGCAAACTGAAACAATAGCTTTATAATACTGTTTCCATGTTGTGCACAGAACAGTACATGGTATAATTGGAATGCTAAGTAGAAATATCATTTCATTACGATCGTCTTAAATATTTTGCAAGATGCCTCCTAATTCTGTTGGCATAGTACATTTTTGCCATTGTCACATTCAGATGTTTGGGATAAATTTAGAACTGATCTTTGTTCAAGTAAAGGTTTTGATCCCATAAAGTTGCTGCTGAAAATAGACTGTTTGATGCTTATCGGTAGTGGAGCTTTTGGATTTGGGATCTTACGCCCTTCAGTATAGTCAGAAAAATTGATAGCAGTACTTGTCCCCTCTTACTGTCTAGTATAGCTAGTAAATTAGCCTAATGCTTTTGTGAGGGTTAATAGATGGCAAAAAGAGAAATAACTGTCTTTTGCTAAGGAATGGCTGTCTTGGTTAACAGCTGACATAGTGATAGTTGCTAAGGGTGCCTCAGATAGTCTCTTTTTGTCTGAATATGAGGACGAGAATCCACTTTAGGAAGCCTGTATAGGCATTAGCGTGCGGTGCCAATATTTTACGTGTTTATTTGGATCACACTGATGCTAAAGGCATTACAGGAACCAGAACTCTTTGGTACCAGTGAGTTTCTGTGTGCCAGGACTACAGATTTTTTTAGTCAGGCTAATCAGGCAGACACAATTTTATCAGCTTTCTTTAATCCCATCCCAATTGTGTGGTCACCCGGGTGTCTTTTCTGTGCAGAGATCCAGCAAAGGAAACTGGATGGGAGTTGCTCCTGTGCAGGCAGACAGCAGCAGAAATGGGGAGGGAACAGGGAAGCAGACGGGAAGTTGTTTGGGAGAAGGGAGGCCACGAGGAAGCCAGTGTGAAGTTCTTTCAAGGGAGGGGGACAACAGAGCCGGAAAACC